TCTACTTTTTTGAGGTTGTGGATTTGGGGGTCTTGGGGTTTTCATGAGCTGTAAGCCATAATCATTACAATTATGACAAATCACGGCTTGAACTATCTTTCTTTGCATTTAATGAGTCTATCTCATATATTAGTTTCACCTTTTAAGTTGCATTAGTGAAATAAATGAACTTTTGCACGATATTCTAATTATTCGAGTTTCACCTGTACTTCCTCTGTAGTTGATACAGCAAGCTATCACTCTCATTGCTAGTAATCGAGATTCAACAGCTTTCGGGATCCATGCCTGTCCCACTAATATTTTTGCTTTTACAGGACTAGAAGTTCCAACACACCCTACTTAGATTTCATCTACCCCTGATTACTGCTCACAGTTGAAAGTAGAGTCCTTGTGTATAGCATGCACCTTGCCTATACTCTCCATCACCAATCCCATAAGTAGGGATGAGCTCACGTTCAGATCAAATCTGAACATGGAAACTGTAGGTCGGGGCATTATATGTGCCACAGATGCCCAAAAACAAAGAGGCAGGATGTTTGTGCTGACATAATTTACCTTTTATAGCCACATGGCTATGTAGCCACGTAAGGTCAATGACATCACTGCATCGCCCCTTTGCTTATATGCAGCTGTGGGTGTGAAATTCACTGGCCACGGCTCATTGGGTGGCAGCAGAACGAGTTTCCTTCTGGTTTTGGAGGAGTCCTTCCCAGTTTGGAGGAACTCATTTTTTGACCAGGTTTGGGCCAAACCTGATCTCGTCCTTAGCAGAGTAGTGGGTACTTCCTGGGCCTTCTGTCACCAGGCTTCAGTTTCCCATTAAACAAAAGAAAAATAACTGCTGTACATGCAGAGTACAGGAACAAGATCTTATTCACCATGGAACCCGGAAGGGCAGATGTGGCCAGCAGGACTCTACATTTCCTTTTTGTCTTTGGTTTCCCAGGCACGCAAAATCTCTACCTGTGCTCTCATTTCCACTCTATCTGGTGGATATGGTGGCATTGGCGGATGCTAACTTTAGACATAAGGTTCTGCAGACAACTGTGTTGTCACTCATTTATGCTTTCTTACAGGTTGTAAGGACTTGCCACTTATTTATGCTGAGTGTCATTTTGAGACTGCTTTTAGATGTCCCATATGATGAACAATAGTGCTATGTCCTCAAAAGAATGCTGGAGCAAATAAGATTTCATACACAGCATAAAATCCTTTATTCCAGTAGTTCATTGGAGGACACAGGATTGTTGTTGTTTTTTGTTTTTTTATGTTGGCCTGTTGCCTTGGTCAGGTCTTTTTGATAAGGATGCTCTCTCTTCTTCTATTGTTAATTGCTTGCTACAACTGACCTCTAGAGTAAACAAGCTTTCTGTAGGCAGGAGTTTACCATTCTTTCCCTTGCAAAGCAACAGGTTCACCCAATGTAGACCTCCCAGCAGCATATACTCTCCTTCCTTTCTTTTTCACAGCACTTCATTCAGCAGAAGTTAAATAAAAGCCCAAAGCAAGCAATTAGTTGCTGGAGTAGTAGCTTTAGCTTACACAGGGCTATGGACTGTGTGGGAGTGTTGACTGGCCAAGTGCTGTCACATGAAGTGGGTCATATATAACTCCCCACCTGAATGCACTGGATATTTTCTTCAGGCCCCTAAATTAAAGCCTGCAGCACTAATGCTCAGTAAACTAAATATTCCGCTTCAGCTGCGGCGTCTCAGTATACCGCAAGCAGTAGCTCGCAGTGTACTGTGGCGTCTCAGTATACAGCGAGCTGTAGCTCGTGGTACACTGAGCTTAGGGTGACGGGAGGACGCTATTTTGTGTCCTCGCATTACCCTAAGGAGAACTATGGGGAAAAGCCTTAACCCCATAGTTCTCCTTTAAGACACCTAAACAGAAGCACATAAACTACAACCTCTGATGCTTTAAGGCCCATATTCAAGTTCTCAAATCTAAATCCAGACATCCCAACTCTCCCGGACGCTCCGGGAGTCTCCCGCTATTAGATAGCGGCTCCTGAACACCCAGGAGAGAAACATTTTCTCCCGGAAAAGTTTCCTCTTTAAACAAACAGCATAGGAATGCATAGCTAGATTGCTATTGGCTATTTCACTTTGCAATAGCCAATAGCAGAGTAGCTATTGCACCTGCCCACTTATGTGCAGAGGGGGACCTGAAGTTCTCCATTAGGTCCTCTTCTAGCGATTGACAGCAGCAGAGGGCGGGTGCAATAGCCAGCTTGCTATTGCATATTGCAAATTGAAATAGCCAAAAGCAATCTAGCTATGCATTCCTATGCTGTTTTTTTTTTTTATTCTGACGGCAGCAGCTGTCAGAATTCTGAAAAAAACCTAAAACCCGGCAGATAGCAAAGAAGCTATTGCTACCCGTGCTATCTGCCATCATTTCAGGGGGAATGGGGGGGCTGGGGGCAGAGGGCACCTCCCTGAAATGAGAAGAGCACCTACCTGAAATTGCTTTTTTAGATTGGGATCCCTGTAAATCCCTCAAAACTAGAGGCCCTGACCTTTAAGTGCCCTTAACTTAAGAACCTGATCTTAGACCCTTAGATCTTAGGAAGAGTAAATAAACTCTAATATGCCAAGAGATTTAAAGTAAACTCAGGGGATATAAAGAGGAAAGCAAACAAGTATTTAGTACAAAGGGACAAGACTGTACATGTTTTGCTTATGTAATTGATAAAAAAGCCAAATGATAAAACAACACATACTGTTTTACAGAGTCCGCCTATTTTTGGTTTTATCCTGACCTCCCCTGCAATAGAAGAAGTATTGTACTTACCTCACTCTGTGCGTGTCGGATGCCTGTGTTCCCCGCTACGTGCTGTGGTTCCTTTCTCCAACCATTATGTCACTACAGGACACAGCAGTGAAGTAGCATTCAGAGGATAGAGCAACAATGCTTGACAGGGGACAATGGCATCCAACACTTCTGAAAGTGTTGACTATTGAAGTGTCTTACTGAGCCTGCAGTGATGGAATGAAGGGAAGGTAGGAGACATAGCCAGACAGATAGGTAAGTATATTCTCTCTTGAATTGCAGGGTAGTGCCATTAGGATTATTTACACCAAACTTCTATGAATTGATTAAAAAATTGCATAGTTAGCACTCATTTGGAGCCTGATCCTGCAACTGAGCACCAATGCAGGGTGAAGGGGATTTTTATTATAGTCTGAGCCTGCCACTGACCACCAATGCTGGGGGAAGGGAAGGGGGTTTATGGTATTGCTACAGCATGCTACTGACCATCAATGCTGGGGGGTATTATTACAGCCTACCACTGATCAATAATGCAGGGTGGGGTTTATTATAACAGCCTGAGCTTACCACTTACCAGCGTTATTGTATTATTACAGCCTACCAATGACCACTAATTTTGGGAGGGTGGTTATTATTAAAGCCTTCTACTGATCCCCAATGCTGGGGAAGTTTAAATGAGAACTATGGCCCAACCTTTTTTGGCCATAGTTCTCTTTAGTGTCACAGAAGGATATTTACTATGTCCTCTTGTGACCCAAAACTCAGCATATAGCTGTCTATTGCCCGCTATATGCTGACAGCGCAGAGCCGCCCTGCAGCCGAGAAAGATGCTGACAATATTGTCTGAATTCAGCTTGACATCTGGCTCTGCCTCTCTAGAAGCAGAGCCAGCTGTGCACTCCCCAGTCTGTCCCAGACAGTTAATGCTCTCTGCAGGGAGAAGATGAGCGATCACCAGTATGTGATCGCTCAGTTCTCGATCTATAGAGCCGACGTGTGACAGCTGCAGTGTCACATGTCAGTTCTAATGATGGGGATGAATGTATCTCACTCTCCCCATAAATCTCCTTTAACATTACTACCCCTGCCCACCATGGAAGGGTGAAATATTGTGGCCATTTACACCAGTGCTGGGATTACTATTACTGCCACTGAAATTGATGCTGGGGCTTATTGTTCCACCCTTCAAGCCATACACCATGAAGCGACACCAACTTTATTGCCCACACCTCCAAGACGTTCCTCCTGACTTGGAGAGATTCTTTGAGCACATGAACGTTGGGCGAAACGATATGCTAAGTTCAATGTCTATGCATAAAGTTGCAGTTGCAATTCTTTAATTCTTTTGATTTTTAAAGAATTATCTGCCCCAGGTGTCACATATGCTAGGTATGCCTCTACTCTGAATATTCCAGAAGCCACACACAGCATTCCTCTTTTGCACATGATGTGAATGTTTGAAGTCCAATAGTACCATAAGAGAGTGCAACATTCATACAATGCAAATACTAGTAACTTTCTCTACACTGATTATTATTCATACAATGAAACTCATGTACTTTGCATGTTGTACAACTGATCTGTTCTGTGGTATACATGTATGGGTTGTAAATAGGTGAAAAAAACTTGCAATTGATTAGCTTAAAAGGTATCTGTTATCCTCTATGCGGAAGATAGTAAGTTTTTTTTTTTTTTTTTAATTAAATATGCAGTTAAGCAATACTTAACCAATTTAGCTACTAACTTTAGCAATGTAACTAGTCATAAAACAAAAAACACCACATAGATAGTGTAAATTAAAATAGATACAAATATTACTAAAATATAATAATAAGAAAAATTAAATGCACACACATAGGACTGTAGTTGTACATAAGTTTATGTCAAGTACTAAAAAATAGAATAAATCAACATATTTATACTGTATAATATAGATAAGGCTCATATTTTATACTTTTCTCTGCAATGTTTCACTTACCTTTTTCAGATTTCTTGGTTTGATTTTCAGTCTTTACTGATGTCCCACAGCCCATTGTTGACAAACCTGGTGGCCGACAATAAAAATGTTCTGGTTGGTACTATGCAAGGCTATCTGATGATGTTCCCTTGTAGTTGCTCACTCATCATGTGTGTTTACTTCCAACTGGTCCTGTACATAATACAAAGAGAAGGAGGCGTGCCACACAAGGGGAGAGGAGCTAGAAATTAAATTACATGGATTAGCAGAGTGTGGTTTCAAAGGGACTGCTGCAATGAAATCATTAAAGCTTGTTATGAAGCATATCACATGAAGGGGATCTCATAAACTAGATTGTCGCTGAAACATCTGCCTGTAGTTACATCATTGCACTGACTTCCATTGATTGAGGCATGCATTAGTACATGTAAACAAACAGAGCTATTGGCATCACCAAGCCATTTAATCGGCACATTTTATTTATTTACATTGGCCAAAGCTTCATGGACTCACTTCACTCAGGTACAGTTGTCTGTAATAAACTTATATGTTCAGATCTTCTGGTATATTCCAATATTTGGGGGGGGGGGCAGGGGAGGGA